TTTGTTTATTTATTTAATATATTTTATTATTATTATTTATTTATTTACTTATTTATTTTATTTATTTTATTTGTTTTTAGGATATTACAACTTCGTCTGCTTCGTCTTAATTTAATTTATCGCTACGATAAATTTCAGCGGCTTCTCCCCCTGTAATTTATTTATTTATTTTTGTTTGTTATTTAAATAAATTCTTTTGTTTATTTTATTTAAGTTTCTAAGTAAAGAATAGTGTATATAAATATATCCTTTTGTTTATTTTAGGTGTCTTTTTGTTTTTATATATTTTTCTCTTTTATTTATTTTGTTTGCTGTTTTATGTTAATAAACGCTTTGCTCTCATTTCTTTGTTTGCTTATGTCTATATATCTGTTTAACTGTATCTATATCTATCTATCTATATATATATATATTTATATATATATATATTTGACCAAATGTATGTCTATATCTATATATCTATCTGCCGCTACATATATATATATATACATTTATATATAAATATAAACAAAGCTACATATATATATGTATATATATACGTAATATGTATATATATGTATATATATACATATATATATACATATATATATATATATATTATTGTTTTTCTGTTTATTATTGCGTTTGTTTCATTTAATTGTCTTATTCTATTTACTTTATTTTATTCTACCTTATTGTTTTTATTTTATTTTATTTCATTTTATTTATTTTATTTTATTGTTTGTTTTTATTGTAGGGTTTTTGTGTTTGCTGTCGGCCTCGCTGGCGTCGTTTGTCTGCCTGAGCTGTCGATACACCGCGACTTGCAACTTCAGCGTTTAAATAGAAGTAAAATAAATAAATAAATTAAATAAATAAATTAAAATAAATAAATTAAATAAATTTAATTAAATAAAATCAAAATAAAACCGATAAAATACATACACGCTTTTTGTTGCTTTCTTCTTTTGTTGCTTCTCCCTTGTATTTACTTCTTTTCTTTTTTATTTTTATTTATTCATTTTAAATTCTTTTTGTTTATTTCTTTGTTTGTCTTTCTTTTGATATAATCTGCAAAAAGGTTTGCAGGGAATTGTACGACATTGGGCTCGTGAACTCGACATACCCAACACCACGTATGTCCCTAGGGTTTAGGGTTTAGGGTTTAGGGTTTAGGGTTTAGGTGTATTGTTTATTGTTTAGGGCTTAGGGTTTAGGGTTTAGGGTTTGTGGTTTGGGGTTTATTGTTTATTATTTGTTGTTTATTGTTTATTGTTCATTGTTTCGGGTTTCGGGTTTGAGGGTCTAGGGTTTAGGGTTTAGGGTTTAGGGTTTAGGGTTTAGGGTTTAGGGTTTGTTGAGTATACGCCTTTTGAATGGCCCCAATAGGCAAATGCATATGGATGCATGTAAACATATATAAATGCATAAATATATAAGTATATGAATATATAAATAAATATATATATATATATATATACATATATGATATATATATATATATATATTTATATAGATTTGTATATATTTTGTTTGTTTTATTTCTGTTAGGTTGTTTAGCAGCGATAAATGTTTTTTATTAGTTGAGGGGATAATTTGTTTTTTTCTGCTTTTGTTTGGTGCTGCTGCTGCACCAACAATTGAAGAAGCTGAAGACTTAAAAGAAATATCAGACAACCCCTCTGTAGGTTTTATTTATTTTATTTATTTTATTTGTTTGTTTGTTTGTTTGTTTATTTATTTATTTATTTATTCATTTGTTTGTTTGTCTGCTTGTTTATTTTGCTTATTTGTTTATTTTAAAACGTCTTCTACATATTTATTTATTTATTTATTTGTCTAATGAACTCTGTATTAATTTATTATCTATATATATACATATGCATGTATATATATATAATATATATATATTTATTTTTATATTTACATCAATATATTTATTTTTATACTTACACATGAATAAATGTAAAATATATTTATGTATAAATATAATAAATGCACAAACCTATGAGTGCAGATAATATATA